TAAATTATTGAAAAGAAAGGACAGGGTGTGGTGTTATTCTTCATGGTGCTTTCAGGCAGACATCAGAATCACTTCTCCCTAAAGAAAAAGATTAGCAAAAGTCAAGAGAAGTTTGTGCAGTGTTAAAATGATAGTTTAACTCAAATTTGTAATATCCAACCCAATGCTATGCCTCAAGCAGCTATTGTTTAAAATGCCACCATAAAAAATAAATTACTAGACAGGTGGGAAAGTTAGCTACTTTCTAAATTGGAGTTCTAGTTACATTTCTATGTCAAAGGCTAACTAGTCATTAATTTAATTCACATTTGAGTCTAATTATCAATTTATGTATGAGCCTGATTCCCTATCCCCCAAATTATAAAAACTCAATTTATCATAAATATTAACTGTAACAATCAAGGTACATCTTCTCACTCAAAACAAAATATTAATCTGTTTTCATACAAGAACAGCAGATAGATAGGGTCATCAATTTGCTGGTGCACACTCTTTAGCTCAGTATATTCACTAATAATATATTTGCTCAAGAGAATCATGAATGTCAGTAAAGCACCCAAGAGTACTAATTTGATTTCCTTTGTTACTGTAAAATTTCATTCATTCAAATACCATCAGCTCAGAAATCAGAATCACAGGAACTAGGCTACCATTAGCCTTTCTGTGCCAGAAGGGCAAAGGAGGTTGTTTAGTAAGCAAAAGGGAACAGACGACCCACATATTCCCTGAACTATCCCATCTTTCAAATCATATGTGCATAGGTTACTGAAGCAAAATGGTACTAGGTACTACTAAAGGGACTAGGAGGAATGAGATAGAAATAAAGAGATGAAAATATCCTGGCCTCATAGACTTTTCTACAGTTTTATTAAAAGTGTATATTACAGCATAGTAGAGCCTTTTTGCATAGTTACCTCTCATCTGATTTTCTGGCTGCAGCTACCTCCTTGTTGAAATTTTCTTATGATCTTCCTGCTGCTTATGTGGTCATGAATAGGTTGACCCCCTAAATCTAAGCTTCCCAAGTGTTTGAAAACTAAGCAGGTGTCCACACCTGTGGTACCTTGCGTACTCCTAGCTGAGGACTTCTCCACTGGATACTGCAGAGGTATTACAATGCCTTGATCTGGCTTCTGAAATGCTGAAATCAGATTCTTTATTTTCCGGAAAAATCTTTTGTGTACCCCAGGTGCTGTCTGGAAAATAAAAGATGAAAAAAGTATTCATTTGCCTCATGATGCTAAAAAAAAAAAGAAAGAAAAAGACCTATAACATGTGAGAGGGATGCTCAGAGAGGTAACATTTGTGTAACTTGCTCAAATATTTGAAAACATAAGGAAGAAATGAAAACAACATCCAGAAGAGCTTACTTTGCTTGGCTGAATTTCCTTGCAAGAGGAGCTAATGAGCTGTCATTGCAGTTCTCCCAAGGGTAGTACTAGTTTGTACAAGCTCTTTCTCACAGCCCTGCCCTTCCTGACTGCTACCCGTCATACATCCTGAACCTCTAAGGATGTACAGGCCATTACCCACAATGAATTCAGCAACAGAGGGGATGAAGTTAAACATAAAAAAAATGTATAGATCCTACAGGTCATTAACAAAAAAGCCTGAGAAATCAAAACAACAACCAACAACATGTCCCCCATCCTCATTTTATAATATCAAATATTACACAGGAAATTTAAAAAGTGACTGTTACGATACACACAACTGCATGGCTGGCCGATGCATATACTATTTTACGTCATAATACATACTGAATCATCCTTCATGTTAATTTTGTGTTCTTTGCCCAAATTGTTTGCATAGTCAGCCCTGCACCATGACAAGGTTTCCTCTATGACATGTAAATGAAAGACTATACAAGTTTATCTTTATTTATGTATTTGTTCATTTTTAAAGAGATCAAATTTGCAGGTGGCTGTTAAGAATGTATTCTTTCCTTGACATCTGTGCTCTCACAAGGACACTGCCTGAAATCAACATTCCCCACAAAGCTTATGAGCTGTGCTTTAGGCACCCGCTCAAAACTGTCATTTTACAGAAAATAAAATAGTATTGCTACGAGCAATTGAACAATGACTAGTTTTGCTTCTTTCTAGTTTTTTTTTTTTTAGAAAGTTGTTTTTCAGCTATTCCATCTGGAAGATTTTTGAGATGGGAACTGCTTGGTTTTTAGCATTTAAGGAGAAAATATGAGGCTGGCACACAGACTTCTGTCAACTGGACTTTAAACTCGAGATAACTGACTATCCAAAGTTACTCTTGGTCATTGCCTACTTTGGAGTGAGTAGGGAGTTTTCCAATATAAACACATGGTAGATGTTCTCTTTAGCTGTAATTTAGTGTTCATCTATCCAGTGTCAACGGACAGAAAATGGTCTCCTACCCATCCCTATTCTTATGATCAGAAGACCTAATTTTCTGCTGAGGCTTCATCTAAAAATAACATGGCCATTCTCGCAGAGACCCAAATAACTCTTTGGCTTCAAGACAGAGGCTGCAAATTACAAAGGCGTGCAAATGGCTACAAAATACCTCCTTACTTCTTCCTTAGGGCATTTTTTGATTTTTCAAAACACTTTCCCATCTCTTGCGTTCACTATTTCCTCGTGAATTGGAAGATATTGATTCTTCCAATTATTCTCATTTCACAGATATAAACATGTAACCTAATCATCTTGCATTGAAGTAAATTAATAAGCAGGTTGAGGTCACACATAAATCAGAAGCAGCAGAATTGTCTCTGCATTCCTTTCAGATTAAGACTAGACCAAGTAGTTTCGAGTGAAGCTGAGGTCACCTGCCAGAAGAGAGACTGCATATTTCCCCAGAGGGGAATCATTTGAAACCACACTTCATTTAGGCTGTTTCTTGTGGCTTATACATGTATTTTCAACAAAGGCATCATTTCTATGGAGACTGATAGTTAACACTTGATTATCAATGCTGACAGAGAAGACAATTACCACTGGACATAGAGAAGTAATTTGAACTTGAGATGCAGCATTTCTTTAGCAAATGACTGACCTAATTTATGATGCTTTGCTTAGGCTAATAAGTAATTCACTTACTAGCTAAGAATCTCCTGGTGACCAACTACCCAGAAAAGCCCAAAAGCACAGAAATTGGCAGAGAGGGAGAGAACAGTACACTTTTGACAATGAATTGCTGACAATCTATACTTAATAAATGATAATCAACAATTCATCATAACTTTAGCCTCCAGGAACTAAGTTAATGTCCTCAGTAATGTTCTACTTAAAATGAAATTTTCTGAATATTTTCTTTCATAATCCAATAGATTCAAAGTTCAATTTAATATCACATCTCTAAAACATGTCTTAAACTTACCTAAGGACAGAGGCTAGAATGTTCCTGACATGACCTTTTCTTATGGTATGTCAAACTAAAATGCTTTTCCTGAAAGTAGTACATAAGCCACTTACCACATTTTGGAAAGACATTTATCACACACACAAAAAAGCATCATGGCTACTATCCTGTCAGTGAATTCAGTTCTTGTTCAAATTTGAGCATTTCCCATACTGCCATCACTTAATTATCCATGGAAACACGTTTTGAATCACAGCTGATCTTCAGTACACTCTGGAGAACTTTCTTCCAGCCAGGTGATTTGAGCTCTGAGAATTGTGCACTACTTTAATATTCACCTTAACAAGAAGGCAAATTTTGTAGACAGAAAAAATGCAATATGCATTTCATGAAACAAAGATGTTTTTACCTATTTCCCATTTGGGGATAACCCAAGACAATCTTCTGCTCTCATGGTGCAAATAATTACAATATTATTATATAAGGAGGGTCAAATCAGATAATAGGATAAGGAATATTTATGCTCAATAGACCCTCCTCTGAAAATGTTTACAAATATGTAATGATGTGCTATGATGTTACATGCGAAATGGAAGAAAATGAATTATAAAATGTGTCTAAGAATCCATATCACATCCCTTCCTCCCAAGGCTCAAGGATCATTGAGGAAGAGAAGTGAAAAGAGTATAAAGCAGTGGAAAATTACAAGGAAACAATGTATTCCAGACACAGCAGGACAGCTTCACATATGAACTCACAGTGGTTATGTCAACAAAGACAATGCAACCTAAGCTAAACAAAATCCAAGCATGAAGAGAGGAGGTGTGTACAAATTCCCACTTCTGGCAAGGAGCTGCTGGCAATTGATAGCTACCAGGAGAAGAAAAGCCAACTTTCTTTAAAAGAATAGCCCCTGGTAAATCAATCATGCTTCTGAGGAAGGCCACACATCCAAGAATATTTGGACAGCACAAATTGAGAAGACAGATTTATCAAAACAAAGAGTACACAAAATTTCCTGGATTGGGAGAGAGGAACAGATCTTGGAGGACAAGGGTAAATAAGATCAAAACATATTATACAAAATTCTCAAAGAACTAATTTTTTAAATCGCAAAAATATCAAAGATTTTTTCCATAAAAATATTTGTATTGCTCAGCTGAAGGGTATTGTTTGAGGGAAGAGGATTATTTGTGACCAACCCATACATAAATTTACATATATCAGGTACATACAACTCTTCTTCACAATAAATCAAATTGCTTATTTATTTGCAGTGACAGATTTTTTAAGAAACACAGTTTTGATTAGAAATGGTACTGATTTTTCCTTATATAGTATCTCAGTATTAATTATCCTGACATAAAGTAACAATGTGACCAGAGAGGAATATAGTACCATAGGGAAGAACACAACCAAAACACATTATAAACTAGTCTTATGAATCACATTACTATGTACAGTGAATATATGGCAATAAAAACAAAATTAGTTGGGAATATTTCTCAGGGGTATAGCACTTGCCTGGTATGCATGTGACCCTGGGTTTCAACACTAATCCTATTTTTAAAAATCCCTAAAAGTTAAAGACAAAACTTAAAATATAAAATTAACCAATGAATAAGATAAGAATGTACTTGAATCTATTCTAATTCATTTCCACAATTTAAATGTTTGTAATTTGTACTTTGCTTTTTTTCTTTTCAGATTTTTTTTATTTGAATTAGAAACAAGGTTGTTTTACATGCCAATCCCAGTTCCCTGCTCCCTCCCGTCCTCCCCTAACACCCCCCCAACTAAAACCCTACCTATCCATATCCTTTCTTCTATTCTTCCCCTGACTTGTACTTTGCTTTTTTACTCATAAATTTGTAAGACATTTTAAATTTTTTTCTAGCCTTTATAATGCCTTAAATACACAGACTAATTAAGCTACTAATAGAAGTTTATATTAACATCTATGTTTCCAAAAGATCATCGTGAAGTACTTCCACGATCAGGATGGACTATTATAAAGTCAGAAACCGACTGAAGCATATTCTACAATTGTGGAATCATGAAGTGGTTCATAAGATGGGTTATTCTATGCTACTTTCTACTAAGCTCTGTAGAAAGACTTCACTCATTCCTTGAACTGAACAGTGGCATTCAAATATGTTCAAAGCCACAAAAAACCTTTGTTCTGAGTAAATCTTATCAAACTCCCAATTCATAGGTAAACTAAAGAGAACTTCACAATTGAAGCCAGATAGGTACCCAGAAATACACCCCCTCACCTCTTCCTTTCCTGCAACCCCCTTTCCAGGGAGTCCTAAGATAGACGAGAACCACAATTTCTGAAAAACATCCCTTTAAAGCATTGGAATAGCAGTTAGGAATTTGTTGTGCATGCATGTATGAAACTCTCAAAGAACATTTTTATTAAATAAAAACTGCAATTTTCCCTCTTCTCTATCTGCATTATTCAGAGGCCTCCTTTGAGAGTCTTGCCTATGCACACAGAGCAGCATCAATTACCTGGATGCTTGGAAATGCCTCTATCTTTGAACTCTTGTGCTTGGCAACTTAGTACTGAACTATACACAATCATATTGTTGAGCAGTTTTCAGTAGTTTACATTCTTGATGCTAACTCTACAGCTAAGAGCTTCATTGCTTGCATTATCTTACACTCCTTGAAATGAGTCCTCAGAGTAAATGTTTATAGGCTCATTTTACAAATTGCTTCAATCAAAAGTAACTATAGGAAGAACCACACGGAGCATGAATGCATTGGACCCGGCCCAGGATCTCATGCTGCAATTTAATTCCCTGTTATATCTCCTAAAAGCTACTAGTGACTAATAGAAAATAGAAATTCCACTTGGTTTGTTTGTATCCATAACAGCACCAATGTACGTGTCAATATTATTCAGTATATGCTTTCTAAAAGTTTTTATAGGTACGGTAAGTAAGTTAGACATGATCCTTCAAATTTCTTCATTCTCCAGAGTGATAGCATTCCACACAGGTCTGGAACCAAAATTTTTAAAGGCTCCTAAGTGAATCACCAACTATGGAATTGAGTATTGGCCATTTAAATAAGATTAGTATTTTGATAATGTATGATATGACTTCTCTTTTATAAACAAACCCAAATTTCAAGCATTTTGCTGATACCCAAAGAAGCAAAAATAAATAAAAGATCTGTACCTCAGCACTCCAAGAACCTGTTTCTGTCTGCGACACTCGGTATGTATAGATGTAACCTTGATACCTGCGAAAGAGTACATTTCCATTACCAATGGTTTCCAGAAGAACAATGGATGCTCTAAACTTGAACTTACTTTAAAAGTTACATATACTGGATGTCACAGGAAGCAAAGTTGTTGAATTTAATTTGCTTGCATTTCATTTCAGCCCAACCACAGTTTCCCGTGATTTTTTTCTTAACTGTGTGAATTAGTACACCTAAGGATTTGTCTAGTAGAGAGACTAGACAAAAAGAAACTATAGATAGACCTGCTGTCACTGACAAAAAAATCATAAATTAAACACTTTTAACAAACCAGAGTCTTACTGTTTTTTAAGTGTACATAGAGTCTTAAGATAAAAATGGTTGACTGAAATAAGACCCAATTAAATTAACAGTAATACTGATAGTATTAATTATTAAAGTAATGTAAGTATATTGTGCTGTGAAATATAATTATTCTTATGATATTACCACCATAATAAATAGTAATATTCTATTACTATTTAGTAGTAACAGTAATTGAATTTTAAAAAGGAGTACTGCACCACAGAATGCTATCCAGCCTTTGAAATAATTAAGTTCTGCTATTTTCAGCAGTATGACTAGAACTGGAGGACAGGGTATTAAATAATTCAAGCACAGCAAAACAAAAAGTATATATTTTCCCTTATATGAAGAAGGCAAAATGTTGACCTCAAAGAAGTACAGAATAGAATCGTGGCTAATAGGGCTAGAGAGATGGGTGAAAAGTTAAAACACTTGCTTGTTGTAGAATATTAGTTAAAGATGTGTTACACTTGTTTATTCTGTGGAACATTTGTTTAATGATGCAAAGATATGTTGCATTCTTTTACGTTGCATTTGTTTAAATCTGTGAAGCTGTGTTACTTTGCCTTTCTAAAACACCTGATGGTCTAATAAAGATCTGAGTGGCCAACAGCTAGGCAGGAGAAAGGATAGGCGGGACTGTCAGACAGAGAGAATGAATAGGAGGAGAAATCTGGGAAGAGAAGATTGAGAAGCAAAAGGAGAAGAAGAGAGGAAACCAGGGGCCAGACACCCAACTACACAGCCAGTCATGGAGTAAGAAGTAAAGAAAGATATATAGAATAGAGAAAGATAAAAGGCCAGAGGGGAAAAAAATAAATGGGATAATTTAAGTTAAGAAAAGCTGGCTAGAAAAAAGCCAAGCTAAGGCTGGTCATTCATAAAAAAGAGTAAGCCTCATTGTCATTTATTTGGACTCTGGGTGGTGCCCCCCCCCCCCCGCACCCCTGCAAGAGTAAAAAGCCACAAAAATAAAAAAGAAATATTTTGTTGCCCAGCATGGGGTTCTCAAATATCCCTAAGGCCTGAGAAAGCTGGAAAAAAAAGGATACAGCTCCTTTAAGTAACTCTGCCTTACAGCAAAGAACTTAAACATCATTTTTTGCATTAAATAGAAACAAAAACCTAAGTAAAAAGTGCCTGGCACAGTTCAGGGCACTGGCATTCTATAGCTTGGGGACTGAATGCAGTTCCTGGTCAAACACATTTCCAAGCAGGCCTCAAGCTTTAGGCTTGGCTCTCACAAATCCAGAAATGTGTGGAGCCAGTCAATAGAGCCATGCAGAGGATCCAGATGTAGTTTAGCAGTTTAAAGTTTGCTCACAAAGAAAAAAAAAAAGACTAGAGATATGCAATAAAAGAGATCCAGATGGAAAAAATCTCTAAACAGGTTGCAATATGCAATCACATATGCTTCAGAAAGAAGAAGAAATGGCTATAGACAGTCACAGAAAGAAATAGTATAAAATAATAAAGTCTTTAAATAGCAAGTAAATATAATATAAAAGAAAAAACACATAAGATGGGAATTACACAGGGAATCTGAATGCTATATAATATTGTGTTGTTTTTTAATTTTTTTGATTGCTGATAAGCAAAGGAGAGCTGCCAAGAGACCTGGAATTTAAAGAGGGCCTGTTGAAATAAGCCAGCCTAGATATTTTAGGAATGCCTTAACTTTAAAATGGAAGTAAAAAAATGAATTTGTAAAATAGAATTTAAAAGATGTACTGCTTTGGAAATGCAGTTTTGCCTTTGTTTTCACAGGAAACAAGAGGCTGTGGATTCCTTCAGGATTGATATAGATCAGCTTTGATCAGGGGAGACCTCCTGAACCTTGACAGGTGATATCTATCAACAAATATTACAGCTGGTCTTCCCCGGACTGGGTCAGTATCTCAAATTTCCCAAGGATCCCTAAAGATGCCTTTGCCCACAGACAACAGGAAACAGTCTCAAGAAAACAATGCCCACATTCCCAAATGTTGGTGTGAGTGGTCTTTGCTTATTTGGTGGGTTATGGATGTTTGTTATCATTTAGGAGAATATATGAATATAGAATAAAAGACTATTATTAATTTCCAATATTTTGCATTGTCTTGGAAGATTGAGGCAAATTTATCTTGTTACACCGTATATATGTTTCTATTCTTGTTTAGGCACTGTGCTTATGCAGCTCATTTAAAAATACAATGTATAATTAAGAAATGAGGTTAGTAGTCATCTGTAATAATCTAACTTATAGTCGCATTACAAGGTTAAATAGATTATTTAGATAGATAAATGGTCTTCAAAAACTTCAAAGACCTATAGAATATGGCACTTAAAAAGTTTTGTTAACATGGGGCTTTTCATGACAATGAAACACATCTGGCAGTACCAATTTATTTCTGAGAAGATGATTGGCATCGAAGGAACTATATTTGGAGCTTCGTGTCAATGTCACAGGGCTAGCTATTTGGGCAAGAAACTGCTTTGCCTTGACTGCTGACAGTATGCTGGTATAAACTGGACATGCAGTAACTAATAAATTTGCCCAAACAAGGCCGGACAGTGCTTCAAAATTTCTTAAGAGTTTGCCAGACATTCTGCAGGACATGTAGGAAAGTGACTGATGAACTTTGCCAATGCAACATAGGACAATCCTTCAAATGTCCTGCCTCACTGAGAAGTCTGCTAGATACTCTAGGTCAGTAGGCTGATGATGGATGCCCCAACGTTACAGAGGAAGGTTGAGTGACTGTCCAGGCAGCCAAATGTCTCTGATATTAGGTAATATTACATCCTTCTGGGTTTTTGTTTGTTTGGTTGGTTTTGGTTTTTTGAGACAGGGTTTCTCTGTATTGTTTTGGAGCCTATCCTGGAACTCGCTTGGTAGACCAGGCTGGCCTTGAACTCACAGAGATCCGCCTGTCTCTGCCTCCCGAGTGCTGGGATTAAAGGCATGCACCACCAATGCTGGGCCCTTCTGGGGTTTTTGATGAAGTTTAAGACTAAATAATTAGAGTTCCTTAGTTATGAGAGAAAGTAAATTAGGTATAAAACTTTGGAGTCACTAAGACAGGATAGATAATGGAATATTTTCTCTAAATTTGCCAGACACAAAAGGACTGGATATTGTGAATGTAATCCTTACTTAATAACTGATCTTATTGTATATAGTCTATGTTAAAGTTAAAACCTTTCATTTTTATTTAGACAAAAGGGAGACTTGTTACTCTCTAAGAGGACTCAGATAAAATTCCCAACACCCACACAATAGCTACCATTGGTAGCTCCACTTCCAGGGTATCTGATGCCCCTTATTTCCACCAAGAACACCAAGCAAGCACATGGTGCACATACATACATGCAAGCAAAATACTCACACATAAAATAAGGTGAATAATCTAATAAAAATTAAAAGAATGATAATTAACAGATTGTGGAAAGTATAGAGGATTAGAATAGTTAATTGAAATGGGATACTGATGTACAGGAGGAGTCAATTTTAGTATTCTCCATGACAATGGCTAACAAAAACTATAATTATGTATTTCAATATTGCTAGTGAGAGTGATTCAGAGCATTACCAACACAAATGAAGTGAGAAAAATAGCAGTCACCCTAATTTAATCATTAAACATTGTATACATGTGCTGAAATATCACATTGTATGCCACAACTATGGACAATTATATGTAAATTTAAATTATAAAATTAATGAGAGAAAAAATTAGCTAATACTTCAAATCAGTTTGTCCTTTCAAATGTGGTAAATATTGACTCCATTATTCGAATCATTGGTATTGTGTTTCTCTTTAGATGAATTCTACTCTATGACAAGGCTTTTAAATGTGATATTTGTCTGTTCAGTTGCCACAAACAATACCATAGACTGAATGTCTTAAATAAAAAGACGTTGTTGTTCACATTTCTGGAAGCTAACTCCAAGGGCAAGGTACAAAGAAGGTTTCTTTCTTGGGTCTTGACTCATGAACACCAGAAAATGTTCTCTCGCATTATTGTTAAGCCACCAATAATATTAGATTTGGCTCTATTTATTTTTATTTACTTATTTATTTGACACAAACTGTATGAACTCTGGGCTAGTTCGAAACCCATGATTATCCTGCCTCAACTTGCTGAGGTTCTGGATTCTATCGACACATCACCACACATGCATGCAAACTCCTCTTTAATGACACAATTTAACCTTTCACTCTAGAGATCTTCTATGCAAATATAGTCATATTGGGAATAAGGCTTAAACTTATTTGGAGACACACAGTTCAGACAACAGCAGTCTATTACTGGCCCCTAATGTTTTTGCATTATAGGTAAGCTGAGAATTCCTACATTTAAAAATTATTCTTCATTCAATTCATTTCTCTCCTTTAGTTTTACTATAAGCAATGTTGAATAACCAAGCCATTCCTTCAAATCTTAGCTTAGAAATCTCCACAGCTAGGTTAAAGGTGGAAAGACAGCTTTGTGGCAGATTGCTTGCCTAGCAAGGGTCGTCATCAACATTACAACAGAAAAAGGAAAGAAAAAAAGGACTATAATGTTCCTTATATGTATATATTTTCAGGGCTGATCAATTGACATTGGATAACCAACTGTTATGCTATTCCCTGGGGAAGCTAATTTCTTCTTCTCAACAGAATGAGCAGGTTGTATCTATGTATTTAGGGAATACAATTAATGGGAAA